AGAATAGCTTACCAGAGCAAGACTCTTTCTAGCTACTGAAGTACAATGATAGTGGCTGTCAAAAGGAGGAGAAATAATAAATAACATCACCAACTGCAACCTAATATAGCTGAGACCTAATAAGGAAGGTTTCTTTCACATTTTCTTTGGCTCATTTATTCCTTTATTCCATGTGTTCATCTGTAATCTATTAAATACAATAGCATTTAAACCTCATTACAACAGTGATACAAAAAGACAAGCGCTAGGAAGTTAAAAGTTAAGACATAGGGAAGACGAGATAAGATTTAGCCTTTAACCTTTAAACACATGGTTCAAAGTGACTGCGCTTGAAAGCTTGCTCAGAACTTTTTTCCAACTACTAAGCTGGTCTAATAAAAGAGATCACATCTACCCAAAAAACCCTTGCCAGCTTGGTTTAGGGCACATGGACAAATAAAGGTGGTGGTCTCAGCCTAAGGCTTGAGTGAAGATCTGTCCCTGTTTCAGAACCACAACACAGTTTGGGAAGATGAGCAATCTCTGTTTGACACAGAACCAGGGATGAGATATCAAGCATGTTGTAGGCCTGGATGCTAGGAGTCAGGGAATACGATGGCAGCTTTCTGAGAACATTGCTGCAAAGTGCTCAGCCCTGACTGGTACTTGTGCTCCCTCATCTACATAAGCACTGAATCTGCATACAAACCTGGAATATAGTAAAAATTAAGAGATAGACCACACTAGCTCCTGTGCTCTGGGCCTGGAACTCCGCGCGTTTTAGCTACCGTTTAATATTTTAGAAAATGCTGTGATTCTGAAAGGCACCTCACTAGCAGCTGAGATCCTCTCTTTATGCTTCCTCGTATTACCCAGCAGATGGACCTCATCCATGACCTCCTTAGCTTCCAAAGGCCAAGAACAACTTTGATTTCTATTTCCATTCAAACCTTCACCTTCAGTCTGAGATTGTCACCAACAGTACCAATTAACAGTAACTGGGATAGCAAGGTTATTTCATGATACGGACACCTAGTTAAGAATTACTGAAATGAGACTAAAAGCTCATTTCTTACAGGTCCCAGCTGTCAGATGGCAATGCTTTAAATCACTAGTAACCTCACGTAGTTTAGAAGTTGTGACCCAGAGGTATTTTGTCTCTAAAAATAAAATCAGGGCTGCCAAACATTTGCACTCTGGACATTTTCACATGTGCTCTGGGATGCAGCGCTGGGTGCTTTAGTTAGCAAGATGTGCTAATTAAAAGCACCCATGGGTCACGTGTATCAGTGTCCCCATGCTGAAAAAATGGTGGTGGGGCGCTTTGAACTGAAGCTCACTGAACATGTTTTATTTTAAAGCATCCTGCCACCATTTTTTCAGTGCAAGGACACAGATACATGTGACGTGGAAGGCTGCTGGAGTGCGTCAAATTCTGGGCTCCAGCAGACTCAATTAATCGAGTCTGCTCTGATGCACTGGCTTTCTAGCGTGTCAAACCAAGCTCTTCGCATGTCTGTAGGAGCCCTCTGTGCCCAAACTGTACCTGCAGGTACCTCTGTGCAACCTTGCATGAACAGAGACCATGGTCTCTATCCATCTCTCACAACCAGCGATCATGCTGTCACTCACAACAGTTTTATCCACTCCTGGCAAGAAAGGATAAGGTTCTCTCCAAAAGTATCACATCACTTTTTTTTCAATTTAACTGCATTAGTTTTAATTTTTGTCAACAAAATGTGTATCATTCAACAGAGTCACAAACAGGTGCCATAATACATTCTATCCCAGGAAAAAATTGGGGATTATTACAATATTGAAAGCAAAACTAGTATGAATGCAATCATTAGGTGTAGTTGAAATCTAATACAGTGTCATCATTAGAGTTTAATACTCTGATGTATTCTACATCTTTTTTAGCGGAGGCTTTTTTTTTCTAGTCCAGATTAGGTTGTATTTTAACAGTTGATCTGAAGTGTTAAAATGTGCTTGCTCAGTCCAGCTGTCATGAACTGCATTTGCGTCTTTGTTTACCCTAAGTGCTTAAATTTTTTTTTAAATGTTTGCAAAAACGGTCCTGATCCCATGAACACAACAATAAAATGACTATTGTGCTTGCTGGCAACCAAGAACTGGTCCACAGGACAGAAACCATGATTTTTAAGTAAAGTATTTGTCAGATTTTACACAAGGTACATACAAAGGGCTCAAGATTTGAACATCAAGAACAAAGCATATATAAAGTAGTAGAGGCACATAATAACATCTGAAGCTATCCATTTTTTCCCTTTTACATATCGCTATACATTTAAAAATGGCGAAGGGGACTTTCAGAAAAATCACTCCAGCCCAGCTTTATATGGTAATTTATAAGCTTGTATAATTTTTATAATCAATTTACGAATCCCTGCAAATTAGGGATTGTAATGGAAACAGTGGCATAAGGCAGTGTTTCATTTTTGTCAATACCATAATGAACTTTAATTATGTAATTATTTCACACTTCAACAAATTTGCAGATTCTTGATTTGCACATTTCCCATGATTCTAGCAGTCAGAAAGACAAATAATGTTTTAGGAATTGCCATGTTTTGTCCTCAAGGAGTGGGATGTTTTGAAAATGGTGGGAACAGAGGAGAAAACTCAGGATTCCTGCCTAAGTCAAATGTTATTTTCCTACAAGAGCATGACTACTCTTGCCAGCAAATTTTGACCAGATATAACAGGTTCAGTCCTGGAGTTTCTGGATCTATTCTTTTAACAGGATGGGCCTCCTGAGGGCTGAAGTAAAGTAGTTTTCCAATTATATTTAAGAATTGCTGAGACTGATGAGATTACAACTGATATTACTGAAAGCTGGAAAATAAATAGCTGAAATCTGAAGCCAAATGTTGGGGTTACCAGTACATGGAAAACAAGGAGAAAATTATATTAAATACATGTAGGATGTGCAAGGCCTTGAGACTGGAGTTGAATAATTATTTATCCATTTTCTTTGGCAATGATTAGTTATTTTGCCTAGGTTTAAAAAAACCTGGTATAATCTTTGCGAAACAAATAATTAAATTTGCATACAATCATATCATGTAGCCATATAAAATAAATTATATTTTCTGCTTGCATTTTGGTTGCCGATTTAATTGATGTAACAGTGCAGAAAACTGAGACAAAATTTTATTTCTTCTGCCTTTTAATTACCATCTGCTAACACAAGATTACATTTCTTAAAGTGACTGGGTCTACCTGCCAGCTGAATTTTTCGCCTGATTTCCTCAAGCTCTGGCAGCTGCCTTCATTATTGGTGAAAATGGCATGGCAAAGCTAGCATGAAAAATGAGGCTAAGCACCTGTCACTTCATTTTTCTGCAAAGAAACAAAGAAAACACATGAAACTCGATGCTCTGCACAGTCTATACTCAGTGACAATTTGCTGTGAAAGAGAATAAAGCATCAGTTTGTTCCCAAGTACAATAACAAGCATGACATATAAAAGCACTTCCAGCAACCTGCATATTTATTTATGATAAACAGAAAAGATAAATCTTCAGAATAAACCATGTGAAGAAAGAAAAGGAGAGGAGTGTACATAAGAGATCCTACCCTGATTGCTGAATTCTTTTACAAATAGCATTGGGCTCCTACTACTGTCCTCTTGGAGAGGAGAGTCATCAGCAAATTTCATCACCTACAGTCAGCACGAGGGACAGACCTCTTACTGATTACAATTCAGGTTCTCTTGGACCATAATTCTGCAAGGTACTAGACCATGCCTCACTTTATGCTTATGAATAGTCTTACAGGAGTCAATGGGATTACCTGTGCACTTAAGTACCTTGTTGATCTGAGGCCTATGGTGGGTAGTTAGGATTTGATGTATTTTGAGCAGAGTAGTATATTTTGTAGCAATGAGGTGGCCTCATCTTCCTGGAGGGATATTGTGACATGAGGAAGAATATGCCTGAGAGGACAAGGAGTGGAGAAACAAGTGGAAAGAAACGGGAAAAGAGGACCGAGAAAATTATAAACATGGGTCTTTCCTGATGTAACAGACATTGAAGGGTCGCGTACCAGACCGGAGGGTGTCCCATGACAAGGCTGGTCTCTTTGGAGACCCTATACTAGGGCAAAGAAAACTTGTTCCAATGGGGACCCTGTACACAGGACAAAATGAAACTGTCCCGGACACAGACCTCGTGGGCATTTTTATGCATGTATGCATTGCAGTGCCAGGCTCTTTGAAAAGCACCCGGTGCTGCAACGCATGCAGTTGTATAAGCGGCAAAATGTGCACTGAGAAAATGGCGGTGGTGCGCTTTTGAACACAAACACCTCAGCAGTGCTTTAGTTCAAAAGCGCTCCGCTGATATTTTCTGTGCGCTGACATGCGTTTTGCCACTTACAGAACTACACTCGAGTAAGGGAAGAGTGTGTAGCTGTGGAAGCCCATCCCAGTGCTCAGACAAGGGGAGGCAAGACTCGTTGAACTGGGGCGAGTTCATTGGGGGTGTGTGTGTGTGTGTGTGTGTGTGTGTGTGTGACCTAAAGGGAAGGCGTCGGCTGTGAGAGCCACACCCAGCGCACCCGTGTGTTCACCCATGGGAAGTGTGTATGCATTGGCCTGCAGCCTGAGCTAAACACCCCACTGTGCAGGGGCGATGAGCCAGGGCAGTGTACATTGTGTGTTGCAGGGACCCAGATGTGGAAGCAGCTGCCAGCAGTGTGGTGATGGCTGAGCTGATGTGGCCCAGCCATGAAGGACTCACCACGGTGCGGTGCGGTGGGAGGAGCTGGGGATTCTGTGTAAATTCATTGTGCATAAATGTCACTAGTAGCGTTTGTAAATGGGTAACCAAAAGCTCATGTTGTAAATATTAAGCAATTTATTTATTAGTGCTTCAATGTCTAATTACTGTTTACGCTTCTCCTTTATCCTATAACACACCTGAGAGGTTATCAGTCTGTGAACTCTGCAGACACTAGGGGTGTGCAAAGTGGGCTGTATTCAATTTGGATTCGGATTCAGCCTGATTTGGGGGACAGTGATTCGCTGATTCGGATCACTGTCCCAATTTGATTCAGCTGAATCTGAAGATGCAATTCTGATTCAGAGAATCAGCGATTTGGCCATAGACAGAGCATTATATGTTTTTTCTACATACCTCGAGGACCTCAAGGTACATAGAAAAAACACATAAAGCTGTGTCTATGGCCTAATTGTTGAATTTCTCCAAATCGATTTGGAGGTTTCTGATTCAATTTGGAGAGATTAAAGGGTCTCCTGATTTGATTCAGATTCAGAGATTTGGAAGCCAAATTGGGTAAAATCTTCTCCAAATCAAATCAACGACTGAAGCTTTGCACAGCACTAGTGCACACCCAAGTGACTATGCCCACACCACCAATGCTCCTTTTGTGTACTGTATATAAAGTTATTTTGGTAGGAATTTGTCATTTGTATCTGCTTTAGTTATATCTTATTCTGTACATAATTAAATTGTATATACTTAAATATTTGTAAATAATTATATTGGTGGTTGCAAAGGGTCTGTAAGTGTAAAAGGGGCCCTCCCAGCTGCAAAGCCCCATTTCAGCTCCGAGGAGAGACAAGTGAGGCTCATACTACTGGGCACCCCAGGATTCCAAGACTCGGACGTGGCATGCAAGTAGCACCGTGGCACATGGGTAGTGCCAGGGTTACACCTATTTGTTTCAAGTTTGCCTAGGTCAAGTAAGAGCAGTCATACTGCAAAATGCCACTCAGGTTTCTGTGCTTAAACTGGTACTGTATTCATTAAGGGGTGGCCCTAGCCTCACTAGAGTTGCATCCTATCAATCTGAGTGTTAGAATAAGAGCAGATGCTGCAGATTTTTCACAATAAATGGTAGAAATGAATGGTGATCTAATTGAGTATCATCCTGCTTTGACCAGAGGGCCGGACTAGATGACCTCCTGAGTCCGTTCCAACCCTCATTTTCTATGATTCTATAAAGGCATGGAGGACTAGCAAGAGTTGACTTGTGCTGGACTGCAGCTACATTGCAGTAGTCAATTTAGTGAATGATTTGGGCTCACGCAGGGTATATCTTCACCACACAGTTAACCTAGGGCCTTATCCAAGTTTTAGCCTGCTCTCCCACCCCTATCACCCATACTGATAAATCTCTGGGGAAGAGCCCAAGAGCATCTCAATCCAAAACTACAGAATATATCCTCATGTGGGCAAGTGCAGACACAGGGAAAAAGAGCAAGACAGATATGCCTGTGATTTGAGAGTGCTTGCACCCTGGCCAGGCTAATTTAGATGTTCAGACCTGGAGGCTGCACATCTCCTGGGCTGCACATACTTTTGGGCTCTTGGCTATACCCTCTTTTGGGCCAGCCAACTCAAATTAGAAACTGCAACTTGCTGTACATAAAGGCTTTAGTTCAAGGGTAAGAGCTAATTTAGGGTAAATGGCAGAGTTACAACTAATATTAACTTTGCAGTGAAGACCGGGGTGTAGCATCCAGAATAATTTTTGCCACCATTTTAGATGAAGGAGTTGAAACACGTGCCTCATTGAGAGGGCTCCAAAAAGAAGCATCCACTGCTGAATTAATAAACCAGTGGGATTTTGTGGGCATAAATGTTCCGTTTGGACAATCAGACCACAGAGTGAATAGGGTCTGGTGGGAGGATTTGCTGCTGTTTGCTTGGAGATAGTTTTCTATAATGCTGTTACTAAAGGAGCAGCACACCTTTCTACAGCTGAATTGTGGCTATGGAAAGAGAGGAACTTCTTTTTTCTAATGAAACCTTAGAATTAGCCGAACATTGCCAAGATGTTTCTTAAATGATGCAATCTGCATTTTCTTCTCTCCTTCTCTGTTATTTTCAGTTCTGCCTGATTTTAAGATAATGTTTTTGGAGGATTTTGCTGATGTGCAGCATGAATTATGTATGGTCTGAATCATTCACATTTTGCAGCAGCACACTGAAAGCATGAATCCAGGTTGTCAGACCTAAATCTGCAGGTTCATATTTTAATCGGCATTTCGATATTCCTTTTGCCATATGCTATGCATAAAGAAGAGGGCCTTATATTATGGTGTTAACCAATTCCATAGAGAGAATATATTTATCCCATCAGCGAGATGACCACTGAGAAGACAAATCTATACACTCTGAATATTTGAGAGAGGTTCTAGATGAGGTTCATCCAACATACTCAACTGAATGAGATTTAGCTAATTGCCGAATTGAAGTTTTCCGATTTTGGGGAAGGGGACAAACAAACAAGAAAATATATTTTTTTTGTTTTTACTGTTCCCAGGAAAGCTGTCAGAAGAAATCCCCATACAGAAAGTTATATTTTTTATCACTCTAGAATGAACAGAAGAGTTTATAGGACAAATATATGAGAGTTATTTTTTATTTCATCCATATTTATGGACAGATAATTGAAATTTTTTGCTTCAGTGACTTTGATGAAATACTGTGGAGTTTTTAGCAGGAGGCATGAAGAGTTTTATTGCTTTAATATTTTTATAGACATTTCTAATTTTTATGGGAATAAAACTGAAATATTACATCAATTATTAGTGTGTCTATGAAGAAATCGTTAGTAGCAGTGTATTTGAACACTCATAGCAATGAAGAGTTCAAATCCAGGGCAGATGACACTAATGCGACATGGGGAGTTATTAATTTTACTTTTATTGCAATCTATTATAATTAGCATTTTTGAGTTATGAATCCAGTGCCCATGGTAACAAAAGAATCACTCTGCCTTTAACACACATTTCTGTGCCATTGTATAGTAATCACCATTACACACAGCCAGGTTACCCAGGGTTTTGAATTTGATACATTTACATTTCACACACTAAGCGGGACTGGACATGGTTGATACTTGGAGGTGGTGTCTGTTAAAGAAACCAAACCAAGGTGTTGTGGGAAGTGCTACTAGTGATGCAGTAGGTGGCACTCCTCCCTTGGTTCAGAGTCATGGCACCAGCATGTTGGGTACTAGGACTACTGGAGACAATGTGTGATCATAGATATGAAAATGGATTCGTTCACTCTGTCAGCTCAAAACCATCCCTCAAATACTTTTATTCAAGGGCTCAGGGATTAACTTAATGGCCTTGTAAAATTCCACTTTGCCTAATTATATTTTGTCATATTTCCCCTCTCACTTTCAATATGCATTGTGTTCTGTTATGGCACAGAGGAAGAGTGGCTTATTTCCACTCCAGAGGTAGCAACTGCTCAGTGGTAGTATTTGAACTGATGGTAATAACATGCCCATAATCAGTTTTAAAAGTCCATAGACACATGTCATTCATTTCATTAAGTAAATGAAAGTTTGCTTTCTACCTT